GCATAGAGGTGTCAAGTCTGCGTCTCTAATTTTTGAAAAAGTATAAAATTTTTATTAATATTGTTCTTATATAAACCATTCAAACTTTATAGAGTACAAGAATAATTAGTATTAGATTGTAATGTCCATTAATTCAGGAAGCGACGTAGGGGAGAGTGGGTAACAGTGGATCAATTTTTTTTCTAACCCATACAGTTCCAAAACTTATCGCTAAATCACTGTTCTCTCAAATTAGTTGAAGGAAGAGTATATAAGCCTTGAAAGAAAAAATAATTTGATGGCGAATATATCATAAATTTTCAACATATAGCCTTTGAAATGAAAGTTCGTAAAAGATCCAATGTGCCCAACGAGTGGGTCAGTTCGGATCGGTGCACGGGGAACAGTGAATCAACTGGGGCACACTGGATCTATGGAAATAAAAACAGTGAAAGATTATTTTTTTCATACAACTCATTTATTTCTATCCGCCCAAATACAAAACGTAACTAGCTACATAAAAAATATTCAAACTCAGTCGTAAACTCTTCATTATTACTACGGATTTGGAATAACATAACGTTAGAATATTTTAAAAAACAACAAATTAAAAACAAAAATAATTCTCTGGAACCCTAAACCTTTAAAAAAAAAACAATCATTTGTTAAACTTAAAAACTCAAGATCAAGTTTATGTTATTAACGTAAATTGATATTAGAAAAGTCGAGATTGAAATGGTACATGCCTTGTTTTCTTTTTGTATTTCCAGAAAGCTTGGGTTGCGGTAAAATCATCTTTATATCTTTCAGTGCAACCATCGCAATATCTAGCACGTTTGGCATAAAAAAAGTATTTAGTGTTTTGGCAGATTTTCTGAGAAAACTAACCTCGGCTTCATGTTCCTTTTCTCCTATAACTTTAGCTGCATAATAAATTTTTTTCCCTTTTACCTCAAATTCAACAATAACAAAGCTTCCTTCTTTTGGTAGACTTTCCAGAACAGTAAAATCCTTGCAATCCACTGTCTCATATTCATCTTCTTCCTCAAACGAATCTTCTTCTGAATAAACACTAATTTGCTCATCATCTTCGCTCGAGCTGTCTTGTAAAATTTTTCTTTTCGTTTTTTTTGCAGCCATTTTTGTCAGTGTGCGTTTCTTTGCTTCCCTCTCTTCTATCTCTTGTTTGTTTGGTGTGTCAGTTGCAATAATCGATTTTCCTTTACGTCTTGGTGCTTTTCCTCCTTTTCGCGGACCTGCTTTAGGCAACCCTCGAAATTCGAATGGGCTCACAAATTTTTTTTCAGAATTTGTGGATGTAACGGTAGCAGCTAAAGCCATGGTCATGACCGGAGTTTGCGGCTTTGCCTCTGTAACAATATTCTCGCTTGCAATATCTGGATGTATTAGAAGCGCATTAGCAGATGAACTGGAAGTGCTAGCCATATCACGTTGTTTAATAATTTGTTCAGTTGGAGTGCAAGAAGTCTCTCGTACTAAAGGCGATGGAGTTCTTGTTCTGTTACTATCATCAACGCGTGCATTATGGTTTTCTGGTAGATTGCATTGGTTTGGTTCATTTTCCAGATTCATTTGTCGATCAGTAACCTCACTAGGCGCAAAGTCTAAATCACTAAAGACGTCTCTGTTGAAGGGGAAAATTCCTGTCGCTTTGAAAGCCGCGCAAATATTTCCGGGTGTCATAGCTCTCATGTGGGCCTCCCTAACGCATCCAGCCACTTCATATATTGAGTAAGTTTGCCCAGGATTTCGCATCATCCAGCTGTCAACTGCCTTATTATATGCAATTTTGAATGGTCCAAAAATTCCGACATCTAGAGGTTGAAGTTTTCCGGTTGAATGCGGCGGCACTGTTAAAATGGTCACACCATTTTGTTTTGCTAGATTCAAGGCTTCTATACAAATGTGCGACTCGTGATTATCGTATATGAGCAGACTTGGGTTTTCTTTACTGCTGTTTGTGTGTGTTATTAAATGCTGCATAGTTGCTACAAATAATTCTGAGTTCATCCAGCCAGACTGTGTAGCTAGGCCTAAGGTTCCAGCCGGAGCGTCCGCGATCATATGTTGCTTGAAATGCACTCTAGGAAATATCATTACTGGTGGCAATGCATTCCCCAAAGCGCTAATTATATAACAAGTTGTTACTAACGTCCCTCGTTCTGCGCTGGTGACCTTGGAGACTTGCCTTTGTCCTTTGGCAGCTAGCACTTTGCCAGATTTCTGAACCGTCATAGTATTTGTTTCATCTAGATTATATACTCTAGTCCCATTGCCAAAGACTGCCTGTCTAGACATAACAGTTTCTAAATTATTGAAGAATATATCCACATTGTGGCGGTTAAAAGATGTCGCTCTACTTAAGCTGCACCCCTCAGGGGTTCGCAAAGATAATCGATTATCCCTTTTTCTGAGATTATATAAATACTCAATACCAGCAAGCTTCGTTTCGTGCCATTTTTCTGGTACTTTTATATTGTTCAGCACTCCTACTTCGTAAATTAGGCGTCGAACGTCCATAATTGTGAGTCCATAGAACATTTGGCTGCATTTGATAACATAATCTACAATACTTTTTTCTTGCGCATCTGTGAATATCTTGCGAACTGCGTAATTAGGTGTAAGCCTAATTATCCTATCAGGATCATGGTTATTCCGAATTTTGTTGTAATACCTGTTTAAAGTTGTGTATGGGATATGAGTGGTTCTTGCAACAGCCCTTATTTTCTGACCATCCGATATAAGTCTTAGAGCGTTTTGCATCTGTTGTTCGGTGTGAAGTCCGATAGTAGTTTTTCTTTCCCTGTTGCGAGGCATTTTCGCCTATCAAAAAGTAAGTATAAGTTGAGTTATAGCTTACCGGGTCACAGTGGATCATTGTGGGTTACAATGGATCACTGATCCACTGAACCCCAAAACAAAATGATTCGCTGTGACCCAATGGCAGTTATTTTTAAAAAAAATCTACACAAAAAAAACGAACACTACTAAATAAAAAACAACATAGTTTACAACTGATATAAACAGTACCAAGCATACCACTGCACCCAAATACCCAGAATTATTACTCAGTTGAATGCAACACAAATTTTCGGAACACGTGATAAAAAAGATTCGTACTTGCCTGTTGCCCAGAGCGACGTAGAACGTCCTACCCCTTCGATATCGTGACAGCGACTAGATGGGCTGAAGGGAAATAATTAAAAGGAACAAACGACAGTAGTTTCCCGCGCATACGCCAAAAGTATGTAAAGCTATGGTAGATGATTCATTGTGCCCCGTGATCCACTGTTACCCACTCTCCCCTACCCAGTGACATTGAGGAGTCGGCTCAATCTGCTTTATCTACAATAAATTATTCCTAAGAAGTCAAAAAGCAAATATGATTTGGCCCTATGTCAAATTTAGTTCATGGTCAAATTAAATTTCCATATGTACCTACAAAGAATATAATAACAATGCTTCAAGTAGTTTAGCGTTAAAATTATCACAAATTTTATTTCTGTATTTTTCGCAACTGATGGTGAAATTTACTTTTCATCACCAGTTGCGAAAAATTTTACTTTTCGTAACTGGTGATGAAAAGTAAGACATTTGATAACGTCAACGAGTTTTGAAAAGTGTCACTTTAAATGTCAAAATTGGAAAAAATATTTTAAAATAAAATCAGGAGAAAATCGAAACTATACGAAAAAAACATGAACTTCTCGTATTTTTCAATTTTTTTTCTGATTTCATTTGAAAAAATTTTGAAAAACTAATTTCACATTCTCCATGTCACTTTTTCTTCTCTACAAGAAAGCGGTATTAAATTTGAAATCCAACGTTTCGTTCCCCTGGAATCATCATCAATTTATTTTTTTTAAATACGGACCTGCTTTTTTCACTGTGCTATTGAAAAATTATAAACATTATCGGTTTTAGGATACCCAAAGATGATAAAATCGCAAATAAAAAATCCAGGTCCGTATTTAAAACAAGTAAGTTGACGATGGCCGCCTGAAAACGAAACGTCAAATTTTAAATTAACACCATTTTTTAAAGGGGAAAAAGTGACAATGATGAAGTGACATTTATTTTAAAATTGCTCTTCAAATACGCCCAGGAAAAAATAGAAACGATTTTACAAGATTTTGTTTTTTTCCGAATATCTCCGGAAGTATTCGGAATCTTTCTAGTTTCAAAACGGCACTCTATCGGTCATAAAATTGCGCAACTTTGTCATAATTTAACCGACCCCGTATCTCTTACGTTACCGAGATCCCAATGATGAGGCTCGAATTTGGGCCACCCTGTACATATAGCTCTCCTTCGCTTATCATCTAACAAATAATTCGCAATAACATAATTTTCTAATAGTTTATTGTATATTGACCAATCTGAACTCCCCAGATCAAACTTACGCAATTGTTCTACCAATCCAACATTTTCAATTCCATAATTGGACATATCTTGTTTGCATTACTTGAAACACAAACACGTGGATTACTCTTTTCTTCTATTATTATTTTATATTTGATTTGAAACACCAACTACCAACTACCTACTACATATATTGATAATTTGATCAACAATATAACTAATAATTTGATAGTGATTGAACGAGTTGTTTATTAGTGATTTAATAATGTTATACCTTCAAGAAGGAAGCATGGACTACCAATCAGTTCTAGCCGATCACACCACAAAGAATGCGAAATGCGAGTCTTAACAAAAAAACCATACCTGCTACGGGACGCCCACACTTATTTATAAAAAATAAGTATGTATTTCTAACCCAAACATGACAAGCTTCAAACCATCAAGAGCAGAAATAAAAAACAAAAATCAAGACATGAGACACGAGACATCACTCAAGCTATGAAGCCGTGAAAAGGCCCAAGTCCAAGGAAGAGAATGAACCACCATTATAATTTTTGCCTTGATCCTATGATCATCTTGCTTTCCGTTTTTTATTTTGTAGACTGTACAAATATGATCCAATAAAAATGGAGAATTATTTGTTTTTCAGCTGTTTATTTTAGATTAAAATTCAATAATTAAAGTAAGAATACAAATTTGAAATAGGCTCCAAACTTAACAGAATTAATCCATTTTATCCAATAGCTTTTTAAACAGAGCGACTTTCGTATCATCTGACAATGTTCTTATTGCCTCATCGTACACTTCACGTACTCTTTCAGTAACATCCGGGCCCCTAAAAATAAACAACATTGATAATCTGTAGTAGGTATCCAAACAAAGCACAATAAATTATACCTAATTTCTTCTCAACCGGTTTTTGTGAAATTTAAGAAAAAAATGCTCGGACACGTGTATTTTGTTTCGGAGGGGGAAATATTCTCTGCATATTTTTAGCCCTGTCACTTTCAACCCCTAACGGGGGTGGGCTCCAACCCCTTAATCTTTAATGGAAAGATGGGTCGAGTGATTGCTCGTTTGAAAGGGCACGAAATTAGCTTTCCAATGGTAACCTGTTTGTCGGATTTTCCTTCGACAGTTAACGCGAAAACGACGCTAAGAGCCTCACTCCTGTATTTTTGGAATCAATAAAATGAAGGACTTAAATTTCAGTTATCGCGATTCAAAAGAGCTACAATCATAATTCAAATTACTTATTTAAGTAAATAGTTATTTGTATACCAAGGCCGCGAAGTGCCTTTTAGCGTACGTAGAGAAAAGTTATCGCCGAGGCCGCTTGCGGCCGAGGCAAGATAATCTCGAGGACGCTAAAAAGTTTCGCGGTCATGGTATACACTCTATTTTTTGTGCAACCATGAAAATTATGTGGAATTATAGAAAAAATGTACTCCTTTCAACAAACATGTGGAACTAATTACCAGTTTGATGTATAACCTGGTGGCTATGGTGGCACAGCGTTTCCATGGATGTCATGGATGACATATTTTGCAAGTAAACAAATACACAAAAAATTTTGACGGTTCTCAAAAAATCGTGAAAATATCCGACAGCGATACAGATGTTTCACTCTCTTGCACTCCTCCAGAGCTAAAAAATATGGTTCAATCAGCTATTTCTGAGTTAATACCTGGAAAACTAAGCGGCAATATGAAAATTGTTACTGCGAGTTCAAAAAATTGGTGTGACAAACAAAACGTCAAAATGGTGTCTGAAAGATATTGGCTAATTTAATGCCGAAATGGGAAGTTTTGAGAGTTCAATTCAAAAACACTGGATTATTAGTTGCTTCAGCTTCAGGAGTAAATATTAGTAATAATGCAAACTGTCATGTAAGTGTTAATATTTATCCTAAATAATTTATGTTGTTCTGAAGAATTTGGAAATAAAATTTACTTATTGTTGTTGTCAAAGTGTCAAATTTTGATTTATAGTTTCGCGGCCGTCACCAAGGACAACGGCCGCGAAATTGAATTTCGCGGACTGTGTGGCGGCTGCGAAAGCTCATTTTGCGGATGGTTGCACAAAAAACTCATTGTTTCAACGCCAAAAAATATCCGCCCTATTTTAATACAAAAAGCCAAACACGACAAAATAGGTAAATGTTTTGTTATCTTTTATCAGAATAAAATGCATTCATTTATTGTGTGCGTTTTTTTTTGTAAAAATAAGTAAGCAGATATACACACTTGGTAAATGAAGGAAGAGAATTTAGGTTTATTCCGTTCATTGATTTAGTTTGGTTGATTTCGAGACGATCTAAATTTTACTGACAAAAATTATTCATTCCATTGCAGAACGAGTGGAAATTATCAAGCTTTATTTTCAAAATAATAGTTGTGCTAGGCTTACTGCTCGTTTATTTAATGACGCTCATCCCAACGAAAATGTCAATCATTCGTATGTGGCGAAATTAGTGCAAAAGTTTACCGATACTGGATCTGTTGCTAATGTGAAACGCCAGCCGCAACACAACAGAAATAAAGCTGTGGAAGTAGCTGTTTTGGGACATGTGGCATTGGATCATACCCAAAGTACCCGTCAACTGGCTTAAGTCTCAGGTGTCCCCCGTTCGTCCCTATTAAGGATTTTAAAAGTGCACAAATTTCATCCATACAAAACTAGATTAGTACAGGAACTTAATGAGGATGATCCTGATAGAAGGATGCACTTTTGTGAAGAAATGAGTCAGCGTTTAATGCAAGAACCGGACTTATTATTTAACATTTGCTTCTCTGATGAGTGTACATTTTATTTAAATGGTACATTCAATAGACATAATTGCCGTTACTGGGATGATAGTAACCCACATTTATTCCGTGAGGCCCATACCCAACACCCTGAAAAAATAAACGTGTGGTGTGGCATCTTAGGAAATCATATTGTAGGACCACTTTTTATCCCTGGTAATTTAACTGGCGAAGTGTACCTAAACATGCTTGAGGATGCAATTGACCCTTTGATAACAGAAATAATAGAAGATGACCTAAATCATAATGTTGATTGGCTTCATTTCCAACAAGATGGAGCGCCTCCGCATTACGTTGCTGCTGTTAGAGATTTTTTAAATTTACGTTTCCCTGGACGGTGGATTGGCGAAATTGAATGGCCTGCCAGGTCACCCGATTTATCGCCTTTAGACTATTTTTTGTGGGGACACTTGAAAAATAAATGTTTTGCCACGCAACCCGATTCTATAGAAGATGTTCGCCAGCGAATAATAGCTGGGTGCAGAAGCATAACACCTGATGTGCTGCAAAATGTCCGAAACAGATTTGAACAAAATTTATATTAAGTATTGTATGGAAGTAAATTATCAAAACTTGTTAAATTAACGTTATACTAAAAAAATTAACAGTTTATGTTTTCGAGAACATCGTATTCTTAAATAACTGACCATGATTGAAAGCTAATAAAGAGAATTCATCAAATAAATATTGTTACTAGTTATTTTGTCTCGAAATAAGTGAAATTTAAGTCCTTTGTTTTATTGATTCCAAAAATACAGGGGTGAGGCTCTTAGCGTCGTTTTCGCATTAACTGTCGAAGTAAAATCCGACAAACAGGGTACCATTGGAAAGCTAATTTCGTGCCCTTTCAATCGAGCTATCACTCGACCCATCGTTCCATTAAAGATTAAGGGGTTGGAGCCCACCCCCGTTAGGGGTTGAAGGTTACAGGGCTAAAAATATGCAGAGAATATTTCCCCCTCCGAAACAAAATACACGTGTCCGGGCATTTTTTTCTTAAATTTCACAAAAACCGGTAAATCTAGGTGGATACTTTTCAATGGACCACTCTGTATAAATATTTACAATAAGAGAGTCACTTTTTATAACCAAAATAAACTTAGTCATGAGAAGGATTCGTGAGAAAGGCCACAAAGTTGATGTGCGCCTTTTTGTGAGGCGTGGCAAACTGCCTACCTTTGAAGCTTTCCAATTCCAATACATTTTAAACCAGTAATGCAAAGAATATCAGGCACTTGCATAGTAAATATCAACGATGGGAATCACCATTCAAGAATAGAAGTGAAAGTCGCCTTATAAGTCTAAATGCAAGAGATTTTGTAGAAGCTATAATGTGCTTGAAATGGGACTGGACGGGCTATATCGCCAGAATGGGGGATAATAGGTGGAGGAGAGAATTATAAAGAAGAGAATCATAAAGCTGCGTCCCATATCAGACGTATTCCGAAATAGAGGAAGACCTCAACTCGTCGTGTACAAACGACATAAGGAGAATCGCTGTGTGCTTTTTTGGCTTTCATAGGCTGGCCACTGAAAAAAATGAGATTTGGCATTCACTCTTTTGCGATTTGGGCACCCATACTGGGATAACATTTTCAATGTTAAAAGCCTTTTCGGTCTGTGTTCGACACATAAGTTTGCGTTATTTTCCGGGACTTATTTTTTACTGGCAGCACTTCATTAGTTTTCAAGCAGACCAGCCTTGCTATCATTTAGAAAATAATTATTTTTCTTTGAGTTTTGGGAAATTTGGGATTAGAATTGGTGCCGTCATTTACATGCAAACAATAAAAGTTTCATGAATGAGTTTAAATTGAAAATTAAATTGAAATTTTATAAATATACTTCTTAGTTCTTACCCAAGTGCCTTAACATGTTCAATCCTTTGCAAATGAACCTCAACGTCATCTACACCAAGTTGCTGCATCCATAGTTCCAGAATTTGCTTTTGAAAAGCGGTCGACACAACTTTGATATCATGTTGTTTGTCAGCAACTAACATTTCCCAGTGAAGCTTTTTACAGTAAGGGGGCTGATTCGCAATTCTTAGATATAGTGACCGACCCGCTTTAATTCCTCTAGTTGAAATCATCCAAACTAGGTATCGAGGCTTTAGGACTCTGTAACACAAAGTTAAAATTAAAGGGAATTGTGAAAGATCTTTTAATTAATAGTAAAATCAAATGTTTCAAAGGCCAAGACTTCAGAAATACATAGTCCCAGAACTGAAAGGCAACATAGCTAATTAGCAAACTTACTTTGTAATTTCCTCATGAGGTTGTTTAATCGCCGCTTCATATAAAGCATCTACATCCGCAGTTGGAGATCTAAGCATGATAAAGTCAATGTAACACTCCCATATTTTTAATGATTGCGGTCCCACAGCAATGATCGCTTTTTCAAATACTTTTTTAGCGAATTCCGGATTGTCCTGACAGATATACAATTTCAAATATATAGACCATATTAACGCGGATGTTGGATGTTTCTTAGTACCTAAAAAATAAAAACAAATATGTTTTTACAAATGTATCATTTTCATTTTGAAATGGTTTGTGTCTTGAGAAAGACACTTTTTATGCACTTGCATAGAAACAGTTCCTATATTTATACTGACAAAAGTCCCTAACGTTGCTGTACTGTATAATTGGTGAAGTGACAGGATATCCGCCAAAAAAATAAACTTAGGAGATATCGCAAATAACAGCAGAAATGGAAAATATGACTTTTCTTGAAGAAAAAAAAAAAGATATTTAGTTGTTATATTAATTTCGTAATTTTTCTTTCAATTTTTTTCTTATCTATGGGTAATTCCATTAATTAACCACCAACGAGTGCCCCTCATACCCTCAATTTTTTTTTCTTTTTCAACTGTGACTTGACAAAAACCTAAGAAGTCCAAAAATCTATACTTTTTTTCTTACCCCCACCTATCTGTTGAAGACCGTGCAAAATTTACCTCGCAGACCTACCTTACTATACAGTGTCATTACTTAAGTGTGCAACATATTATGGTATTTTTTTTTAGTAATAGCACAATCAAAATACAAACAAGGCCAAAAGTTGGTGTATGTCTAATAATCATATTAGGTGCACTTAGAATGGTTGCAAGTCAAACAGCATACAGGGTAGGTCAAAAAATATCAAAATTGTAGTAATATTTACTTGAATAAAATAAAACTTTTGCACTTTGAGGAGAGTTTTTTTAATATGGCTATTATCATTAGTAATGTTTTAACTTGTTTAAAAATAAATTGCGACATTTTAAAGTTGTGTTGAATATCATTGCAACAAACATGAATTATGTGATTCCATAAAAAATTAAAAATCCAAGTTAATTTTACAAATATGCTTGAATTTGAACAAATTTATGTAAAATTGATTTGATTTCAATTAATTTTTGAAAGTATTGAGGGCGAAAATCAAAAATAAAAAAATATAAAAATTATAAATTTTTTTCGAAAAAAAATAAAAAAAATCTTAGGAGGCTATGTTTTGGTACTTAGGCATATTTTTTGATTCCAAACAACTTTTCTCTATAATATTTCGATGAATTTTCTAAAATAAGGGTACTTTACAGTACAGCTTTGATATTGTTTGAGCTACGCTGTATGCTGTTTGACTTGCAACCATTCTAAGTGCACCTAATATGATTATCAGACATGCACCAACTTTTGGCCTTGTTTGTATTTGGGTTGTGCTATTACTAAAAAAAATTCCCATATGTTGCACACTTAAAAAATCACACTGTATATAAAGGCACTAAAAAATTTTCAAATAATTATCGGCTTAGTGTAAAAAAAAATATTTTTGAAATTCATGTTTCTTAAAAAATTATATTTTGAGGAGTCAAGAAAGCCATGTTTGAGTGAGTCGATTTGAACCAACTTAGTTTAGTCATAACAGGCGCTTATTGGTCTCCAATAATCACAAATAAAATTGTAGTGTATTTTTCTTTTAGCTGTCCTGTGAACACATATGTGTCCTCTCACTAAACCGATATGGACAATACTTGAATAAGGTTTTAATTATTTCTGTATGGGAAGGGATAAGAACAGGAACCACTTCACACTTGCGTAGAAAATTGTCCACTCATTTTATAAAAATATCAAGCAAACTATATTACAGAATTTACACACAGCATAATAATTTTTCAAATGAACGCCTCTTTTTGAACAGAGAAAAAAAATTGATCTTGAGATCTTAGTTCATAACAGCTTGGACAAAAATGGAACTTTCTTACTTGGTCTTGAAAAAAATTAGCAAAATTAGGCGCCATCAACATGTCAATTTTGAGGAAAGATATTCTTGGATAAAAATTTTACATTGGAGATGAAATTTATAATAAAGTCAAAAAATGTCTTACCTTCTTCTATTTTCTGAACTAGAAGCGTATTATTATTGGAACAGCAATCAATCCATGCTAAATAATGCGACTCAGAAATATCAATTTTTGCTCTACCAGCTTCTTCTAGAGCATCTCTAAGGAAACTGACCTGAAATGTTCCATTAAATTAAATAAAGACAGGAGTGAAGTGCAGGAGTGGTCAATTTTACTTGTCAATATTTCTGAATTCATGGAATTTTGATTTTTGATGTATAAATTCAGTTGATATAGTTGGACAGTTCTGTGCCCTCCGACGCCTCCGTGACGTCTGCGCATGCGCCAACCAAGGCGTCGCGACGACGTCATCAGTCAGCTGTCATCTGTCAATGTCATTCAGCTGTCAATGTCAGTCAGCTGTCAATGTCATCTACCTGAACTACTCCAACTTACCCGAACTGCTCTCTGATGCGCCATCTATAAACCCCGTATAACATTACACCTGTGTGTTTTTTTTATATTTCTACATGTATTTTTACAGATGAAAAAATACGTGAATTTATACATGCATAAATACATGAAGAAATATAAAGAAAATAGCCAGATGGGCTTAAGAAAAAAAAAATACTAACCTCAAACAATTTTTTATTTAAAAACATACATTTTTTAATACTCAACTATTTCAAAAAGCGATATTTGGTTTGGTCGTCCTACATCCTTCTGACCTCTGTATATTATTGAATATTTTCCATCCATAAACTGCTCAATATGATCTTCCAATGATTTGGTGGTACGTTTTGGAAGAAACACTGCCTTATCGTCAAGTTCAATGAGGATACTCGGTCCGAATTTACTTTGGGTTTTTTTAGCAGAAAATATTGGGTATTTTCTGCCAGGCTCCATGTCTTGTAATTTCACAAGTGTTTTTTGATCCTTGAAGAGGCAGGTCTCGTTGATTGATTTCAAATCCATATCTAAAAAATATTCTGTAGGTATTGATATTAGTATATAAAAGATTTACTTACTTGTTAAAAAAAAATGTTGTGCAATAATTTTATAATAATTATAATGTTCGCTGTTGACGAGTTCAAACAAGACTGAAAGTCGCTCAAGTATTATAAAAACCGATTTAAACTTCAACCTATATACAATAATCATTTAATGTCGATTCCAGAGCAGTTTGTTTATTGTTTTTTGTTTTGTTTGTTTTACAATGACCTCCAAACGCGTCTCGAGTACCACATTTAACTATAGTCCGAGAGCGAGCGCCAAGAAACAGCTATACAGGTCTAGAGATAGGTTTGTATACACCTATACAGGGCTAGAGGCCTGTATACAGCAGTGGTGAGCAAGGGTTGGTTTGGGTTAGTTATAGGTTAGCATAGGACCCCCCACGTCGTTGGGTTAGTTGATTAAATAATTAATAATTATAGATAGGTACTATAAAAAATAAGTATTATTTTAAAAAATTATCAGAAAAATATGATACCTACTGCCTTGTATATATTAAGCTTGCAAACAAGTCTCAACTTGCTCGATGATGAAAAAAAAAGAGACCATAGAAGAGTTGCTAGCTGAAAATTTGTATCAGGATCGGAGAAGTGTAGGGAAGCGCGAAATCTCTCCATCATCGTGTAGACTTATAGCATATGATGTCATTGTTTAGTCTACGAGTCTGGCGCAACGTTATTAGTACTGGAAAATAAATAACGATAAACAAACTCGGTAATACACTTAGTTAATGTATCCGACCGCGGACCCGACTTCATAAGGAAGGTATTTATGTTTATTTGGATTGCTTAGAACAGAGAACATCACTTTCCTGCTAGGTATTAGCAACAAAAATCAAGCATATGAACCTATAAAAGTTGTGTTGTATATTTTTGTTGGTGATTACTTTTAATATCAATATTTCTAGTATGGTAAAGTGCTGTTCTGTGTTTTTTGATGATTGATTGATTGTTGATTGATGATTCAAAGTTTATTCTCCTTGGCGTCAATAAAACTAGAACAAACAAGTTTGCGCTTCTATTCGACCGCAGCCGTTGGAGAGGCAGCAGCATAGCAGCAGCAACAACAGCATTCAATACTAATTTTAGTTTATTGTGAGTGATTGTGTCGATTTCGAAAAACAGTAAGTACTATTTTCAAATATCAAGGTAATTTTTTGATTGTCTTGTGTTTGAAAAAACTATCTTATGTAGGATAAATTTTGCCTTGAGACATATTTCAATAAACTTTAAATATTTTTCAATTTTTAATTAACACAAACCTCGTTTTTTTTTTTTAATTATTTTGATTTTCATTTACACACAAACAAATTGTTTGTGTTTTTTTACTATTACATAAAACCCTAAGTAATGTATGGTTTTAAATTTATTTCCAATAGTTTTTTTTTTTTTAAACAACTTGAGTTTCCTTTTTCACTTACATTTACACATAATTCAAATTCAAATATCTTTTTCTAAAATTTAGGTAGGTACTTTAACTAATTTAAACTGGTTTTATTTTTTCATTCATTTTAAAACAAACCTCCATAAACAACGGATGCATCAAGCAGGAAGATTACAAGCGTGCAAAGAAAGCATGGAACTTGTTTAAATGTAAAACCTTGGGTGAATATTCAGATATTTATTTAAAATCCGACGTTTTGATTTTAGCCGATGTTTTTGAAAATTTCAGAGACGTGTGTCAAGCAACTTACGGTCTAGATCCTTGTCAGTAATTCCAACTCCACAGCTGTTGTTGTAGCAGCTTACAAGAACACATACTTACGGAAAATTTTCGACAGATTACGTGAAGCTAAATTCAAAGTACAACTAGACAAATCTGAATTTTTGAGACCAGAAGTTCAATATCTAGGACATATTGTAACCAAACACGAGATTAAACCAAACCCAAATAAAATCGCCGCTGTTAAAGACATAAAATCTTTTCTGCTGTCTCGAAAAGCTGTGTGTGTAGACAGACCTGTCTCGAAAAGCTGTCTCCATAGACAGACCTGTCTCGAAAAGCTGTCTGTGTAGACAGACCTGTCTCGAAAAGCTGTCTCCATAGACAGACCTGTCTCGAAAAGCTGTCTCGAAAAGCTCTCTGTGTAGACAGACCTGTCTCGAAAAGCTCTCCACAGACAGACCAGTCTCGAAAAGCTGTCTCCATAGACAGACCTGTCTCGAATACTACTAACCTGTCTCGAAAAGCTGTCTCCATAGACGGACCTGTCTCGAAAAGCTGTCTCGAAAAGCTGTGTGTGTAGACAGACCTGTCTCGAAAAGCTGTCTCCATAGACCAGTGGTTCCCAAACTTTTTTCTTTTGCGCCCCTTTTCTGAAATCAAGGAGTGGTCGCGCCCCCCTTCCTTCCCCCATTATACAAAAACATTTTTTTTTTACTTACTGTAACTCCTCTGAACTGGACTTTGGAAGAGGAATAATGAACATGACAGTGGGCAGCGAGCGTGCACTGTAGCAATTACTCTATTCCTTTTATACATCGAGTTACACCGAACGTGTCGCTCTAGAGCTCCTCGGAGTCACTCCAAAACACACAATTCAGAATAATTCAGATATTAGAGAGTTCTCGTGCTGTCCAAATTTCAAATACCGTAACGTTATTTGACAAGTATGATAGTTCTTACGGTATTAGCGTTAGCGGAGCCGCCCGCTACCTAACGGGAGTTAGCGGATGTCTTACCGTAGCCATATGCTATGTCAAAATTCGTTTACGCTCCATTTACGTCTGTAAGAACAGCAACTTCTAATAATTCCTAGATAAAAAAACACCAAGGAAAAATTATTGAAACTCAGGAATCTTCAGGATAAATAAAAGTTGGCAAACAAGCAAAAAAAAGTTGGGTTAGATCACTCAATCCAGCTGTCAAAATGTAAACAGAATAAGGAATTAGATTTTAAAATATATAAAATACATAAATATATAAAATACCATTTAAAATACCGTATTCTTAGCGGTACCGCATTAGCATAGCGTCTGAGGCACGGGAACTTCCTATTATCATTATACTTTAATATTAACATTTCCTAAAAAAGCTTATTGCACCCCCGGAAATTTGGTGCATTAGGGGAAAGGGGGATGCACTATGAGCGACTCGAGTGCTTTCAGACACTTTTGAAAGGAACGTTCACGCTTTTGACACTAAGCAGCTCCGAGTAACTCAACGGGTAAAAGGAATACAGATCGCATGGCAAAGCTGCTTTGGCTTATGTATGCGCTGTTGTTCCATTTTCTGGAAACGTTCCTCGCACGTCATGGCCAGCTGACTCATCTTTTCTCCAGTCTCTCTTGCTGCACTAAGGCCCCGAAGGTCATCGTGGACGTTTCTGTTCAGTATTTGATCCAATTCCTGAATGCGGTTCATACTGCTTTTAACTTGATCGCTCATATTATCCACTGCTTCTCCAAGGGCGCCAAGTGCTTCATTTGCGATGAGCACCTTATTGTATAGACTGGTAGTTGCCAAGTCTACATACTTTTTAGTGGATGCATCATTGTCGTCACTAGGCATTCCAATATTGCAGAGCCTATGATTTTCAACATTATAATCGCCATCGGTAGTGGTGGGCAAAGCTGGTTGAGGGCGAATAATTTGAACGGGTCTACGTGACGAAGAAGACAGCGAATGTCCAAACTTATTCATGGCTAACAGACTAATGAGTAAACATTAAATCTGAAGACTATTTTATCAATAAATTATTACGCGTAGCTCTCTCAACTCTTCCAAAATACTCAATATTTCATTTGTGTGATTTCCATTTCCAGCCTCTTGAGACGCATCCAATATAATCAACCTATCAATCAGTTCGTTTACGTCATCGTAATACACATACTGTTTGGGTTTTTCATTATACTGCATCATTAACGACGGTGATGATGATGATGACGATGTTGGTAATCCAGATCCCGACAATGATTTTTTATGAGATTTTGATTGCATTGCTGTTGTTGTTGTTGTTGCATATGGCTTTATAAAATTTTTATATTTTTTCGAGTTGGCCCCCTTTATCTGACCTGTCGGTTTATATTGTCTTCTATGTGCATTAGTGCGAGATAAGATTTCATTGAATTGTTCGTTGTCTTTCTGCGTATTCAGTCGAGGATGCTTGAGAAATAGCAAGTCATATAGACCGCGACTCTTGGGATAAGTTATGTTACCAACATTAATATCGCCATTTGGTAGAAAATCAACTCTTTCTGTGCCCATAGTCCAAGAACCGGTTTCCGCATTATATTTCAATCCATAGGTCGAATCAGTTTCATTAGAACCAATCAAGTATTTAAGAACATAGTCTTGAGCTATCTCTGGATATTGTTTTATAAATTCTACATAACTCGTAGTTTGTTCTCCAATTGATTGTTGTAAATCATCTTCTGATGCGTTATCGACAAACACTTCATCATTTTTTGGTTGCTTCTTAGATTTTTCTACAAGTTTATTTAGAGGACCGGTTATAGGGTTTAAAAGTCCATCCAATGCTTCATCTTCGTTACTTTTCTCCAGCTTCAGAGACAAATATTTTTCCCGTATGTTTCTAGCAACAGTATTAATTCGTTTCTTGACATCTTTGTCAGCTTTACTCAAAACAGGCGGAGTCATTGCACCACCAACAACTACTTTGATACAGGTCTGTCTACACAGGCAGCTTCTTTTAGGACAGGCCTGACGACAGCTTTTTGGGACAGGTCTGTCTATAGAGACAGCTTTTCGAGACAGGTCTGTCTATGGAGACAGCTTTTCGTGATAGGTCTGTCTATGGAGACAGCTTTTCGAGACAGGTCTGTCTACACACACAGCTTTTCGAGACAGGTCCGTCTATGGAGACAGCTTTTCGAGACAGGTTAGTAGTATTCGAGACAGGTCTGTCTATGGAGACAGCTTTTCGAGACAGGTCTGTCTGTGGAGACAGCTTTTCGAGACAGGTCTGTCTACACACACAGCTTTTCGAGACAGGTCTGTCTATGGAGACAGCTTTTCGAGACAGGTCTGTCTATGGAGACAGCTTTTCGAGACAGGTCTGTCTATGGAGACAGCTTTTCGAGACAGGTCTGTCTACACAGACAGCTTTTCGAGACAGGTCTGTCTATGGAAACAGCTTTTCGAGACAGGTCTGTCTACACACACAGCTTTTCGAGATAGCAGAAAAGATTTTATGTCTTTAACAGCGGCGATTTTATTTGGGTTTGGTTTAATCCCGTGTTTGGTTACAATATGTCCTAGATATTGAACTTCTGGTCTTAAAAATTCAGATTTGTCTAGTTGTACTTTGAATTTAGCTTCACGTAATCTGTCGAAAATTTTCCGTAAGTATGTGTTCTTGTAAGCTGCTACAACAACAGCTGTGGAGTTGGAATTACTGACAAGGATCTAGACCGTAAGTTGCTTGACACACGTCTCTGAAATTTTCAAAAACATCAGCTAAAATCAAAACGTCGGATTTTAAATAAATATCTGAATATTCACCCAAGGTTTTACATTTAAACAAGTTCCATGCTTTCTTTGCACGCTTGTAATCTTCCTGCTTGATGCATCTGCTGTTTATGGAGGTTTGTTTTAAAATGAATGAAAAAATAAAACCAGTTTAAATTAGTTAAAGTACCTACCTAAATTTTAGAAAAAGATATTTGAATTATGTGTAAATGTAAGTGAAAAAGGAAACTCAAGTTGTTTAAAAAAAAAAAACTATTGGAAATAAATTTAAAACCATACATTACTTAGGGTTTTATGTAATAGTAAAAAAAACACAAACAATTTGTTTGTGTGTAAATGAAAATCAAAATAATTAAAAAAAAAAACGAGGTTTGTGTTAATTAAAAATTGAAAAATATTGAAAGTTTATTGAAATATGTCTCAAGGCAAAATTTATCCTACATAAGATAGTTTTTTCAAACACAAGACAATCAAAAAATTACCTTGATATTTGAAAATAGTACTTACTGTTTTTCGAAATCGACACAATCACTCACAATAAACTAAAATAAGTATTGAATGCTGTTGTTGCTGCTGCTATGCTGCTGCCTCTCCAACGGCTGCGGTCGAATAGAAGCGCAAACTTGTTTGTTCTAGTTATATTGACGCCAAGGAGAATAAACTTTGAATCATCAATCAACAATCAATCAATCATCAAAAAACACAGAACAGCACTTTACCATACTAGAAATATTGATATTAAAAGTAATCACCAACAAAAATATACAACACAACTTTTATAGGTTCATATGCTTGATTTTTGTTGCTAATACCTAGCAGGAAAGTGATGTTCTCTGTTCTAAGCAATCCAAATAAACATAAATACCTTCCTTATGAAGTCGGGTCCGCGGTCGGATACATTAACTAAGTGTATTACCGAGTTTGTTTATCGTTATTTATTTTCCAGTACTAATAACGTTGCGCCAGACTCGTAGACTAAACAATGACATCATATGCTATAAGTCTACACGATGATGGAGAGATTTCGCGCTTCCCTACACTTCTCCGATCTTGATACAAATTTTCAGCTAGCAACTCTTCTATGGTCTCTTTTTTTTTTCATCATCGAGCAAGTTGAGACTTGTTTGCAAGCTTAATATATACAAGGCAGTAGGTATCATATTTTTCTGATAATTTTTTAAAATAATACTTATTTTTTATAGTACCTATCTATAATTATTAATTATTTAATCAACTAACCCAACGACGTGGGGGGTCCTATGCTAACCTATAACTAACCCAAACCAACCCTTGCTCACCACTGCTGTATACAGGCCTCTAGCCCTGTATAGGTGTATACAAACCTATCTCTAGACCTGTATAGCTGTTTCTTGGCGCTCGCTCTCGGACTATAGTTAAATGTGGTACTCGAGACGCGGTTGGAGGTCATTGTAAAACAAACAAAACAAAAAACAATAAACAAACTGCTCTGGAATCGATATTAAATGATTATTGTATATAGGTTGAAGTTTAAATCGGTTTTTATAATACTTGAGCGACTTTCAGTCTTGTTTGAACTCGTCAACAGCGAACATTATAATTATTATAAAATTATTGCACAACATTTTTTTTTTTAACAAGTAAGTAAAACTTTTATATACTAATATCAATACCTACAGAATATTTTGTAGATATGGATTTGAAATCAATCAACGAGACCTGCCTCTTCAAGGATCAAAAAACACTTGTGAAATTACAAGACATGGAGCCTGGCAGAAAATACCCAATATTTTCTGCTAAAAAACCCCAAAGTAAATTCGGACCGAGTATCCTCATTGAACTTGACGATAAGGCAGTGTTTCTTCCAAAACGTACCACCAAATCATTGGAAGATCATATTGGGCAGTTTATGGATGGAAAATATTCAATAATATACAGAGGTCAGAAGGATGTAGGACGACCAAACCAAATATCGCTTTTTGAAATAGTTGAGTCTTAAAAAATGTATGTTTTTAAATAAAAAATTGTTTGAGGTTAATATTTTTTTTTTCTTAAGCCCATCTGTCTATTTTCTTTATATTTCTTCATGTATTTATGCATGTATAAATTCACGTATTTTTTCATCTGTATAAATACATGTAGAAATATAAAAAATACACACAGGTGTAATGTTATACGGGGTTTATAGATGGCGCATCAGAGAGCAGTTCGGGTAAGTTGGAGTAGTTCAGGTAGATGACATTGATAGCTGACTGACATTGACAGCTGACTGACATTGACAGGTGACTGACATTGACAGGTGACATTGACAGCTGAATGACATTGACATATGACAGCTGACTTATGACGTCACGGCGTCGCGACGCCTTGGTTGGCGCATGCGCAGACGTCACGGAGGCGTCGGAGGGCGCAGAACTGTCCAACTATATCTACTAAATTCAACTAACAGTACTAAATTAACATTTCATTCAAGATTATGTGCTAAAGAGTTTTAGCACAGCTGTGGTAATTTATGAGAAGAACTTTTGAAAATAAACATCAAAAGTTACTGGTAATGTTATCAAGAATATTACCGGTAACAAAAGAACGTTAATATGACCGTAATTTAAGTAATATTACCGTAAATTCTGCATCGTGCATCACTACGCATGTCTCTTGTAAGATCTCTTTGGCACCGTTTTGCTGTGTCGCAAAGACATTTTTGTGTAATTTGTTTTTTGATATTAACCATTTAACGCGGCACTTCAGTTCTGTTGTAAGAATCGCAATCTCGATTACTGAGGTGAGAATTCAATTAACTAATAAGAGTATTAGGTATTGAGATTGAGAAGCCTTGAGTGAGGCACTTGCAGGCGTTAAATATTTGTAGATATAGTTAAAACCTTGTAATTTTTTTTGCCATTTCCTACCAACTAAAATACTACCTACAAATTAGAGAATTTAAGAGGAGTTCTTTCATAGGTGATTGGAAACTTGTTGCCATGTTTAGGATTCTAAGTCAAAAATTACTTACTGTTTGTGGACTTTTGTAGTCTTTTTGGAGATCTATCATCATGTTCAAATATTCTTTCCATAAATGAGGTAGCTTATCAGGTGACAGTATTGAAATGCCTTCTCTGAATCTTAATATAGCTCTTTCGATGGAATATATGGTGCTTCTTTTGTCTTCGTCTCCAGAAGGATAATAATTGCCTGAAAAAACATCACTTCTTAAAATGTAATATTTGCTGGTATCGGGAATGAAAATATAATAAGATTTCTCTTGAAAAAGTCACAAAAGTCAGGTCCTGTCCAAAACTTTTTGATCAAAACTGGACAGCCATATAGGAACAAAGCAGCCTACTAACCCTTCAACAATCAATGAAGCCTGTGCGATACATAAAAAGTTATTAGCGACAAAAAAGTATGGAATTTCAACTCGAAAATATCCGATATGATATTTCCAACAAATATGCATGATATTTACGGTTCTTGTTCCTCCTGCAGCTCAACCTAATGAAATGTTGGAAAAAATTGATTATTTTGTTCTGTATATCATGCACGAACCAAGAATACTGCATAGATTAATCTTCTCTAGGCGTCAGTAATGTGTGAGATTATTAGAGAAATGAAATGTTATCAATTTTCAGATTTACAATACTACACTAATATTTATGAAATTAAATCCAAGAGGCTCTATTTGGGACTGTTGTGTTGATACATCATTATCTGGATAGGTAAATATCAACTTTTTTGAACAACTTCATAATTTATCGCAAAACCAATACTTCAAACTACTAAAATACCCAATTTCGTTCGTATGGTGTCTTGGGATCTAAATCCAATAATTATAAGCGCTTGAATAAGTTATAATGCTAAGCTTAGTAAATGAAAAAGGAACAAACCCCGCATTTCCCTTGAAGCAATTAGTTTCCATACTCCTGGCTCATCTCTATATTTGATAAGTAGCTGTTCTATAATATAATCGATAGTTTTCTTCAAATTCTCAATACCTTCAAAAATTTTAATGATCTCTTCTAAAAATCTATAACTAATATTATTCTTCATAATTGTGTCGATGTATTTTTTAAGCCGATTCTCGATTCCGATTTCTGTGGTGTTTTTTAACTCAATTTCAATGAGGTCGATATAGATTGAAAGATTCTTTGGATGAAGAGATTGTCCACGTAGCAATATATGCCTGGCTTCGTCATTTTTTCCACATTGAAAATACCAGGCAGCTGTTTGTCTAAACACATCTGGTTCATGTTGAAATACCTGAAAAATGTTTTTTAAAATTATACTTTTGTGTAGGTATGTCAAACAAAGTGAGACCAGGAATAACAGATGAATCATAAAAATACTTGGAATGAAACCTTCAAACCTCGCGTTCATTAGAAATGAAAAAATAAAGATAACTGCAAACTTCTCAAATCTTCTCCATTAAAAGTATATTGTGAGTGAGTATCACATGATGCTACCAAAAAAAATTGTGTTACTACGGCATCAAAGCCATCAAAAGTACTTTCACTTCTGCTCACAAAGGTAGTAAAAAAGCAAGTTTACTTCTGTTGCCAACTGTGACTGCGAACGTTAGAACTGATAAAAAAGTAATACTTCAATGTCAAAAAATTAGTAGGAAAGTCAGGTTTTCTGATTGGTAACAAAGAGGTATCTGAGAAGATAACAAAAAATGACATATTTTTCTAATCACCTATAACATTGTATTTTTTGAGGGAAACTGATTTACCTAGTTCGTTTTTGAAAATCTAATCTGTGAAGCACCAAGCAAAAGTTTAATTGAAAAGTAAAACATGAATTAGGTACCGTAAAATGGGGTGACTTGATAAGATTTTTGACATACTTGCATAAATTACGAGCCTAATATGAGTCTTTCAACAAAACTAAAAATAGTCACCAACTCTTTAGGCACTAGGGAATGTAATGGAATATTGAAGTCAGTTTTATCAAGTATCGTTTTCGAAAAAAAAAAATATTAAAGGTCATTTTTCAAGCCACCCGGGGAGACTTGAAAAATGATCGTTAATGGGCCTGTAATTCAAGTCAGAGTGTTTATGAGGTGAAATGAAACAAAATACATTAAAAGAAAAACGCCTGACAGCGACAATTTTGGCAAAAAACAAACGATTTTCAAGAAAATAACCCTTTATTAAAGAAAATATAAACAAATTCGTATAAATAAAATACACAGAAACGAAAGAATAGCTAACTCTAATTAAATAAACAAAAAATATGGTAGGTACGTAACTGCAATAAGGTGTGGTAAGTCCCTACATAAGTTATAACTGAAGCCCTGGGAATTTTAAGGCCCCTCTTCTTAAAACTATGGGTGAAGGAACGACGATTTCGCTTTTTTCTACCACTGACTCTTCTTCTACTTGTGGAAAAATATATGCCTCTTTTATTTTTGAATGTGATCTTAAATACGAACAGACAAAGGAATCGTTTTCGATTGAAACAATTTTTGCCAGAAACTTCTTGGAAATATTCTTTGTAGATTTAAGTTCCACTAAAACAAAGTCGTTCTCATGGTATTCATATTGTTCAGTCTTTTTATTTTCTTCAGTCTTTCCATTTTCATCTTTGGTATTTTGAATTTCTTCGTCGCTTGTTGTTCCATCAATGTCTATAGTATCAACATTATTGTCACTTTCATTTTCACGAAGAACCGATTCATCTTCTTCTGATCCACTGTCACTGAAGCGTCTTGTGAAGACACGCTTTCTCTTTACAAATTGGTCCCAATCTTCTTCTTCTTCTGTCTCAGATTCTGAAGAAACTAGCTTCTTTTTTCTTGGTTTTTGTTTCTTGGGTTTTGATGGACCAGGTTTGTTGTTATTTAAATCATCAGGTTTCTGTGGAGTAATGTCTTCAATCGCGATGCTTTTTCCTGGCTGAATATCAAGTTTCTTTCTTCTCCCTTTTGGTGTACCATCGGCGCTTCCGTATCTAGCCTCCTGCAATATCTTTTTCAATGCAGCTGCAGCGCTGTTCTCTGCTTCCTGTACTGAAGGAACTTCTTTTGGAAGCTTATTCAAAATTTTATCCCTACACAGAGGAAAAATTCCGGTGGCTTCAAATCCAGAGCATATATTGGCCGCATTTTGAACTTGGATACTATTTAAAGCCTGATTTAAAAGGCGTGGAAAAACATCTTTGCGCACAACACCTTTATTGCTTTTTTTCCAGGTTCGCAAAATTTTGCGCCAAGCATTTTTAACAGGCCGAAAGACAGCCACGTCTAAAGGCTGGGTTAGATGGGTACTATTTGGCGGTAGTAACACGAATTTTATATTGTTCTCTTCGCATAATGATATTACTTGAACTGAGATGTGGCTTGCCAAGTTATCGCCAATTAATACTTTTGACCCTTCTCCTAGAGATTTAAAATATGGTAGGGCTACAGTCAAAAACCATTCTTCAAACAAGTTAGTGTCAAACCAGCCTGACATGCTTCTGTTGTATCAAGCTTTAGGTGGACCGTTTTCCGTCCAACTTGACCAGACGTGATCAGCCTTGTAGACAATGTATACAGGAAGCATTTTTCCTGAAGCGGAAATACTAAACATAACAGATGTTGCTGCCTTCGATGAATCCATAATTTTTTCGGCCCTTTTACAGCTTCGACGAACGACGACTTTTACGCGGCCAGGATCATCAGTAAAGTTCGTCTCGTCGTAGTTAACTATAGCTGCTGGATCAACGTTGTTTAAAATAGTTGTCAAATTATCGAAGTATTGGTTGATAATGCGAGGGCTTATTTTTGCCTGACTTTGTTTAATAGCCTGTGACAGTCTCTTTGAAAGAACATCATTATGTCTATCTACAAAGGCTAGATACCATTCTCTTCCCGGCATGTTGTTGTTAAACAATGGAACAGTAATACCACGTCTATTTAAATAACAAAAGTTATTTAAACTAGCTCTCTTATATCCTCACCTTCTAACGGGAATCCCCAATCAGCAGCTAAGGCAATGCTATTTACTACTGCAGTTTCATCGACGCTGCATAATGCAGTTTGACCCCCTGGTGTTTTTTGGTGTAATTTATTGACCTTGCGATATAAAGTGGCAACTGGAATACCATATTTCTGTCCAATCGCTTGCAGAGTACCATTTCCATTATTATATTCGTTAACTGCTTGTTGCACCGACTCCGTAGAATAATTTTGATAATTTCGTGACCCTGGGCGCCGTTGGTATGTCCGCGGCATATTTTTCAAGTCACCCCTAAAAGTACAAAAAAAAATAAATTGATACGCCACTGCTCAACAATACATTTATAAAATTATTTTAGGTTAAATTCGTTGACCAATATATTGTACCAAAACAAAAAAAAAACCGGGGCATTCTTGTAATTATACTATGGATTCTACAATATGAAGTTTGCAGGGTATAAAATCACGTATTTTTTTTACCTGGTTTCAAATTTTTGCACACTGTAGGCAGTTAACACTAGGTGTTTGTTTTTTGTCTGTTTATGGCGCGGACAACCTGCTGAATGAGACTGAAGCGATAAAACGGCTTCCTCAGCTGATACGCAATGTTGCAACTACTTCAAAATCTGCATTGCAATATTTTTCAAGTCACCACACTTTTTCAAGACACCCCATTTTACGGTACTTAGAGAACTGAGAAATCTTCATTTATGCTTTATCTTCTAAGTTCAAACCTAGATTACCTACATAAACAACTGTTAATTATCGATATTATCTTATAATTCAGTTTGTGTAGATTTCACAAGTAGGATGTATGTATTTATTCCACCAAATACATAGTTGAATACATAGTGAATAGTTGAAATTGTGAATAGCATATATTAAAAACTTACCTGTATCATCTTATTAACATGATCACGAGCTACATGTTGATGTTGCTCAGGGAAAAATTTCAAAAATTCAAAAAAGGCCAAGTTAAAGTTGTAATCCGTAGTAAAGTTTTTTAAGCCTCTGCGATAAGTTGCCATAATTCTTTTTATGAATATCCAATCCAGATGATTACTCTTTTGAAGGCCATGTTTGGCTTTTTTGCGTCTCCGCAGTTCCATGTATACTCCTTCTTCGTACTTAATTGCCGCTTTATAGTCTTCCAAACATTGTTTTCCACTGACCATTTTGGATTCATGATGATGTATTTTATTTACGAGTTTACTAAAAACAAAATATATTCAGTAATAATAATAATTGTAATAATAATAATAATAATAATTTATTGAATATTTTCTGTATACATAATAACAGTACAATTCACAGTAATATTTTTATAATCTAATAATTTTTTATTGTGGCACCTAGGCATGAGATTGCCTGCATGTGCCACGTTTAATTCTATAAGTAGTTGGTAATGATAATGAATGAGGGGTATCATGTATAAAATTCTGGCCTAGCAGTACCCCAATCCATTAGAGATAAGGGCAGGTTTAAACAGTTTAAAGATTCTGTAGACTGTACGACTGTAGGTGAAACATCTTATAGTTATTCCTAAATACACTGATTTTGAAAACTCTTGTAATTCTTAAATATATATCTTTTTTACAACTTTTTTTGAATTTTTTAAGACTAGACAGAGGATAGGGTAATCTAAAATTTGCACAGTTTTGCTAATCTACAAAGGCAAAAGAAAAAGTCACTAGCTAAGTAAAAACCACAATATGCGCAGACCTCCTGACCCATTCATAACCTCAGCCCTATTTTATTGCAGGCCCATTGAAATATCACCACCAATACCTAATTGATGTTACCACTTGAAGGTACCAAGACCAGGACAATAAAATTAAGTGCACTGAACTAACAAATAAGAAGGAAACATAGAGATGTGAGGAGAGAATATTCTCGAGAACGAGAATATTCTTGTGGTAACATTCTTCCACCTAACCGCGTCGCGTAGGCCCTAGTTTTGGTCGATTTCAAGTCAGACACAAGTCTTGACTCTTTTTGTATTCACATTTTCAAATCAGAAATGATGACGTCAAGTTTCAAGACTTTGGCTTGAGAGGGGTCACTCTCGCTAGTTACCAGAATAGAATTTGAATTTGTTTAGTTTAGTTTATTTCGTTTATTTAGCAATAGCTAATTGTGCAACTTACATATTATTAATAAATTCACAAAAGTTATAATTAGTGTATAGTGTCAATTAAAATAAACAATTAAAAAAAAAAACAAGGAACAATTCAAAACTACGAAAAGAAACATTAAAGGAGACAAACCGAAACAACATGAAAGACATCATCATCATATCCTCATGACATGAGTCAGTTATTTCCTCAGTTATTTCAAATTCCATCATACTAGACAAAGATAGACTGCTCATCGCCTCATCAGAAAAAAAAGATTGCGCCCATAGCAGGAGGAAAAGACACATTTTCCTCTCCTGTTTAGGTGTCGAAAATGAAAAATTATGACAATCTTGACTTGGTCAACACGTAATTTCAGATTTCAATAGGTATAGCCCTTATAACCTGACAGTTGCGTAATAATTGGCTATAATTAATAGTGGAATAAAATCACTGCTCTAACTCGCTGTTTTCTGAGGGTGGGTGATTCCGAGGTATAACCAGATGAAACCTATATCATCTTGTAGAGGACACTTTGGGGCATAGGAAATGGGAATGTACAACTTTTTTTAATAGGACTGAACTTTGAAATCGGCCCTTAAACGTGACTAAGCTCGAATTTGAAAAACTACGTTTTTCTAAACATTACCCGCTGTATTAATTTAAGCATACAATCTAGAATTCTGATTTTTTGCACACTTATACTTGAAACATGAGCGCTTCTAATGACAGTTCAGAAATTTCGAAAAGGCACAAGGTTTTTTTGTTAGAAAGTTAGGAATATAGAATTATCAAAATCGTGCATCTTAAACTTCACCCTGCGGGAGCTATGTGTATTATTGAAAATTTCTATACATATATATAGAATCAAATGTAGTAAAAACATTGACGAAGTTTTTAGAAAAAAAATTAAGGTGCTAACTTTAACGGTTATAGAAATATACATTTTTATCCAAGAGCCCTGGAGTGCGCTCAGCCCATCATGATCCGTGTCGCGACGGAATTATTTGTGCATTCACCGAGAGGTGCATTTTCTGACTTTTCCAGTTTTGTGCGTTCGTATGCGAAAAACAGCTAAGTCTGATTTATTATCAAAGTTTGAACCATATTCCAACAGTCGCTTCTCTTCGAACTGATGTTAAACAAGGGTGTGACTAAAAAAAGCAACTTAAGCTACTTAAATCAAGAAAAAAATCAAAGATCTCCCGTGGAAACCGCAGTCTTTCATTCAACATACTATCCGAGAAAATTCTTCATGAAAATAAATTTTGCGGGAACTTTCGACGTCACACCGGCTAACCGCCGGAATCATATCCTTCTGTTTGTTCAGTGGTTGAACCGTGCTCTAAACTTTAAGTGGTTACAATTTGCTTTAAGTGAAATCCTTGACTTTTGTCTTGGAAAATTTTACACATATTTTAACTGTACTTCCGAAGCCAGTGTGACGTCACAGCCTAGGCGTTTGTCACTTTAAAAACCACCCTTTTACTCGGAAACGGTTCATCATAGCAAGATGCGGTTCAAATATTTGTTCTTAGATTTTTTCGCACTAAAACTTCATTTTTGGGTCACAATCCCTTCAATTCACTTATAATAGATAGCATGGTACTTATTCAAGGACTAAATGATAAAGCATTTTCAACTTAACTTTTAATGAACTCGCATGTATTTTTCTGAAGCAAATTCTTTCACTTGGTCGAAGGTATGAAGCACTGAGAATAACGGTGGTTTTTATCGGTCAAATCTTTGGAAAGGCGCAGAAGAAGTAACTTCGCAGATACGTATGCGTATGAAGTTTCTGGAAAGAGAAAAGTTATGAAGTTTCGGAATTTTTTAAAATTGTCAGAAAATGAAGAATCCCTATTGAAATTTGTAACTGGTTATATTTTGGAACATTTAGCTGACAAATAGAAAAAACTCTGATCATCGCTGGTGGTTTTGAAAACCCAGAGTTATGCTTTCCTGTCAACAAGGATGGTGTAACCGTGTAACCGAATTGAAAGCTTTGAAATCGAATCATGATGAGACTGATGAACGACTTATAATCCACGTCTTAAGTAAGGTCAGTTGGGGTAAATGTGATAACGGGGCAAATGCAATAATTGGCATTTATTCTAACACAAGCGAAAATTTTAGACGTTAGAGTGGTTTTTATTACAGATAATATGTTTTCGAACGAACTCCCAATTTGGCGAATCGTTCCTGTCAGTTGTCAAAAATTTTCCGTTATTTTCCAAACAGCTGTTATTTTCGGTTACATGTCGAGTGCATCATTCAATTATTCGTGCTGTGGAGAGGGCAAGTAAAAATAAAGGTAAGCAACTGAATTTTTGGTTTTAGGGTGGATTGAGTATATATTTTGACTGTAGTATTTTACATTTTCGATATGTGTTTATGTTTTTTTTTAACAACCCTATGGTACACTTGCCCCCCTCAATTTGAATTGTGGGGCTAATGTGCTATACTACATTTACCCCACAGTCATCTGTATATCACACTTGCCCCATTTTGATTTCAGGAAAAATGGTGCGTGTCTACAAACGGAAAACTCAGCCCAACCAGAAATATGATGATGAAATCTTGCAACGGGCATTACAGGAGGTTCGAGCCAATCGAATGACTATGTACCGCGCTTCCGTAGTGTATAACATCCCCTATAGTACCCTCTATAGCCACAAAAAGGGTTTACGCGGAGTGAAAAGCTCCACCAAGGGTAGAATATGTGCACTTTCACTTGCAGAAGAAGAAAAGCTTGTCCTTGGCCTTACAACCCTCGAAAAATGGGGATTTGGGTTAACTCGGAAGGAGGTCCTAGAACTGGTCGCTGAATATGTGACCAAAAACAACATCCAAACCCCCTTCAAAAACAATGTTCCTGGACCAGATTGGTTCATAAATTTCAAGAGACGTCACAAGTTAAGTTTAAAGATTCCACAAGCAGTCGAGTTTGCTCGCAAGAAAGCAACAGATCCTTTCATCATATATAAATATTTTGATTTGCTAGAAACAGTACTCAAAGACCTGGACTTGGGCAACAAACCAAATCAAGTGTGGAACTTGGATGAAAGTTCTTTCTCCATTGATCCGTCCAAATGTAAAGTCGTGGGGTTAAAAGGAGTTGCTTGTTCTCGAACCGTTAGCTCTCCTGGCCGGGAGAACACCAGTGTCTTAATGTGCGCAAGTGCAGCTGGTAATAAAGCACCACCGTTAATCATCTTCAAAGGTCTTAATGTGTGGGATCAGTGGATGGCCCCTCAAGGAACAGGATTTCCTGGAACAGTCTACGCTGCTAGCAAAAAAGGCTGGATGGAATCAACGATATTTTTGAATTTTTTCAAGAAAACTTTAATACCCTGTTTTGGAGACGAGAGACCGGTGTTAGTTATTTATGATGGCCACAGCACACACCTAAGTCCCGAGATCATTGAGGCAGCCTTGGCAGAACGTGTGACAATTTTAAAATTGCCCCCTCATAGCAGCCATCTTCTTCAGCCTCTCGATCTGGCGGTTTTTAAAGCTTTAAAGTCAAGATGGGACGAGAAGTTGGTGAGATGGCAAAGACAGCATGTGGGGCAAAAACTTCCAAAGAAATTATTTGCGCAATATCTAGGCGAAACATGGCAATCGCTAGAAGGCACCATAATTCAAAATGGATTCAAAAAAGGCGGAATAGTACCTTTCAATCGAAATGTTATTCCTAGAGAGAAGTTCTGCCCAGAAGCTCTTAAAAGATGGGATCTCCATAATCGACGTGCGGATCCTCCAGAGCATATAACGGCGGACAGTTCCAATATTCCAGTGCATGTTGCGGCGGACAACCCGTACAAAGACCCCGTTGCTTCGACTGCAGCTATGCCCTCTGATAACCCGCTCTCATTTGAGTCGCTTCTGCTCTCCACTGTTAAGCAAAAAACACCTAATGAGAAGCTTCCAAGGAAAAAAGTTGCCGCTGGGGCTGAAATAATAACCAACGAAATTCTTCTTTTCAAGTCCCCTCCTGTGAAACGTTCAAATAAGAAAAAGGAAAAGGCTGATAGTTCCTCGGACGATGACGACCCAGAAGACTTCTCGGTCCAGGACTCCGACAGCGATAATGAA